AAGTTTATCACTGTAAGCACCAACCAGTCAGCAAGTTTATCACTGTAAGCATCACCCCAGTGTTCAAATGAAAAGTACCTCAAGCGAAGAGGAAGTAAAAAAGGGTTCCAGTCTCAGAGGAACTACAATCGGACCGAGTTCCTGTGGTGTGATCATGCCAAAACTTCCTGGTTCCTGGAAAAAAGTTTCTGCGGTGTGAAAGTGTGCACAGTAACTGATAAACGCTTATATTTGTACATACACGTATGCACACGGAACACCTGCACAAACACGTGCTGATAAATATAGGCACTACTCTGCAGTAACTAACTTTCAGTGAACGTCTGTCTTTCTCTTTTAGTCGCAGAGATCTGAACATCGACCGAAATAGCCCTTTAAAGTAAGAGCCTGCCCTTCAGTTTCAACCATTAACATTCCATTCAAATGCAATGTTTAGCCTCCTCAACAACTGTAGCACAGCATTTGCTTAGTAGTACTCCTTTCTGTTATTCACCGACACCTTTTTCCTGCATTGCTTTCACCTCAGAATGATCCTCTTCTCCGTAACACTTCATTCACTTCTACCCCCAGATGCCCTGTGATGCTGGTGGTAGGAGACCAGGCCCCTCATGAAGATGCAGTGGTAAAATGATTATATTCTTATGGTCAACAGATAACCATTAGAATGGCATGCCATCTAGCAAATGCCCCAGCATAGTGCCCTATGTCACGTGAGATAAGCTCCAGATCCCGTACAACCCTGGCCAGAATAAGTGTTTGGAAGATGAATGGATGGAAATCACCTTTTGGCTTCTAAACTGACTTGTTTGAGCATAACTGCAGAATTATACACGCCGTAAAGTGAAAGGAAATAACACTTGCCTGTGATTATTTGTTTGAGATTTGCGTTAAATTAAAGCTTGAAAGTGTCGGTGTACTTCATTTATATTCCTCATTTGCCCACTAGGTGGAGTGCAACAGCAGGCTAGATCCAACGACAACTTCATTCCTTAAGGTGTCGAGTTCTTTTACTTGTTAGTGAAATGCAGCACAAATTATGGTATTCCATGCAAGACTCACTCTCCTGACTTGTTTCATGTTTTTTCAGATGGCAGATGGTGGTGGCCTTCCTCAGATCAGCCAGGTGAGACACAAGTATTCCAATCCAATACTGAGTAGTCCCTCAAGAACTATTCAGAACTATTCGCATTGATGTGACCACCTTTTTACTTCCGCTCTGAACCCCCTCGTGTTCCACTAAAATCATAACCACGTGTCCCCATTTCCTTGCAGCCCAGCAAACTTACTGAGGCTTTTAAGTACTTTATCCAGGGCATGGGATACAGTAAGTAACTGTGTGTGCATGCATATATTACATTTTGGGGACCAAATGTATATATTTTTCCTATAGAAATGAATGGACAGTCACGACAAAGATATCAACACAAACGTGTGTGTGTGTGTGTGTGTGTACTGATACACAAATTCTTATATGAATTCACTTAAAAATTTCTAGTACAGAGAACACCAAATTAACTCAACACATAACTGAACAGGCTAACTGCTATAATTGTTGATGGTAATACCTGCTATAATATCAAATGTATTTTATGTATTTTTTGTGTAGTTCCTGATAACTTCCTTTTCCTCCCCATCTCCCTTCCTTTCTCTCTTGTACCCCTCAGTGGCATCATCCTGCATGACACGGCTTTCCCGTTCCCGAACCGCCTCCCTCTCCTCTTCCTACTCCATAGATGGCTCACGCTCGCGCTCCCGCACCCTGTCCCAGAGCTCACAGGGGGGGCAGATGCCACCTAGCCCGACCCAAACCATGGAGGTGTCTTGCTAAACACAAGGGGACCCGAGGCAGAGTAAAGGATCCAGAGATCACATTCATTTAGCCATTGTTTTCCCCTGAAAAATTTACAGCAATATTCTGTGAGGAGCCATTTATTATTTTCATTCATTGTGAATGTAGAAAGTGACAGAGGTAAAGTGCCCACATAGACAGACAGAGAGCCCCCCCCCCCCAAGGCTGCCCTGCACACCTCACCTCATCATCTTAATATTCCTCAAGAGGCAAAGAGTGGATGAATTCACACCACTCTGCCCCTTCTGTCCTGTCAGGTTATCACCATCACAGGACAGCCCTTTAACTTTGTGGGCGGGGTTAGTGTTTCTTGAAGTAAGGAAAGCCTGTGAGAAAAGAAAACAAGGTTGGTATACAGCTTTTAGGTCAAGTAAACAGTGTTACACCGCTTATAATAGTGATTAAAATAATGTTTAATGTTAAGATTGACATCATAAACAAGACATGGGCACTATTCATATTATGATTGTTATTAATAATAACAATGATAATAATAATTATAGCATTAGGCAATATGTTTTTCTTAATTTCAAATTGTGATATAGCACTTAAGCAAAAAACATCAAGAAATAGTGTTAACATAAATTCTCTGTGTCTGTCTATCTGTCTTATAGTAATATTTACCCAGGATTTGAAATTAAATGTGTTTTAATTTTGTGATATTGCCATGGTATGTGGAAGCAGGTTGAGTTCTGGTGGTTGAGCTGATCGGACATGGCCCAGTCTATTTGTGTGACCGGCCTAACCCACTAATTTGATTGATCTCTGTCCCAGCATCTGTTTTCACTGACTTAACTATATTGAACTGTGTACAGTTATCTTAAACTTCCAGAGCTTCCACTTTCTTGACATGTTTTCTGTGTATGTTCTTGGTGAAATGCTTTGGTTGTACATTTTTTGTGTGTTTGGGCCTTCTGGGAAGTGGGTTTGAGTTGGTTCCATATGAAACTGCATGCCTGAATTTTGATTATGTCTGAAAGTTCACTGTATGATGCATGATCCTATTGGTGGAGAAAATGAAATATATGGGTGGCACAAGAAGGTGGAGGGAAAAAAATGGAGGAACAAATGAGCAAATAGGATCAGGGCTGATGCTGTCTGTGAAGGAGCACTTTCTAAACAAAACGAGGGTAGTTGCAGCACTATGTGGCAGCCCACCAATCAGAGAACTGTTACAGAAACCCCCGATAAAACAATCGGACGCCCCTGTCTCCCAAAGAAATCAGCCAAATATGTCATGGTCAGCTCCTTTACATAAGTAAATACAGGTAGCACAGGAAAATATGACGAATGCTGTCTATAACTGTCTATAATGATGCTACAGGGTAACATCTACTCAGTCACTGTTAATCACTGCATAGGGTATGGAGATAATCAGCCAAATCAGTCGAGAAGGAACAGAAATGCCTCACTCACAGCCTCACTAATCCCAGCACCAGAGCCTGTACCACTTCATGAGTCCTTACTGACTGCCAAAGGCTAGCACCCATCCCAAAGTCATTACCCGTTCAGCAATGCTAAGGGTCCACACCAGTCTAAAGTCCTTTTTGCCCTCTATGAGTTTTAACAAATTATTTTGCTAAACACATTGTTAAGAAGTTAAAAGAGTGGCTAAAAGATTGCAAGTAAGTGGGTGACCTGTTGTATCTTTTGCTAAGTAAACTTTTTTCTTTGGTGGGATATCCTGCTATAAAAATGGATAACGTGTAAAATGATAAGCTATGTTGTTTTGGATTATAGTGTCTACTATGCATTTAATTAATGATTCATAATGTTTATAAAGCTAAATACTGCCCTGATAATTCCCTATACTGAACACACAAATTAAGCTACCAGATAGGGATGTCTGTAGGACATACCAGTATGCATGTGTGTGGGTTTAGCTACCAGCAATCAACTTTTTGCCCCAGAGTATTTTTGCAAGCATTTTTGTCTGTGTGTGTTTTTTTTCTTGGAGTGTAATTAGCAGGATGTATTCATGGAGATGGAGTGGGTAATGGAGGTGTGTGGGGGATGGGAAGGAATTACGCAGTAATCTGCATGTGCTTGAATGATTTATTAATGTTGCAGTGATAAGATTGATGATTTGTGAGGGAAATGAGCAAGACTGTGCAGAGACCACCCTCAGTGACATGAGCAAAACATGCAGAATCTGGGGCCAAAGGTCGCGGCCTGGAAGAGTCTACCAAATATGGAAATAGGCGGAGCTACAATGTTGCCAGAATCAGACAGACATCTGAATGTGTTTGCACATCCAGTTTGGGTTTGCCTTTTTATAATTAATTTTTCCCATTTTTTCTTTACTAAGAACATCTGTGTTTTTCTCTGTGAAGTGTTAGTTTATTATCTCTGTATCTTCACAGAATAGCCAGTGGTGTGCAAATAGTTGTGTAACTTTTTTAGCTTTAGCACTAAACAGGAAGAAGTAATATAATTAACAAATAATAATTATAACAATATACAGTCAAACTGAATAGTGTGGCTAATTTCTTGTGTAATCTGTTGAACAACAAAAATATCTTAAGTAAAGCTAATAAAAGTTGGGAAAATGAATTCCTCTTTATTTGCTTAATCATGGCAATAGTTATGCACTCATTCTGTACAACACCAAGTGAGCTCTTTATATAATATTACAGTTATATGTAAACTGACACACCAGTCAAGTAATTACCAATTTGCTTTATTAACAGTACTTTCAAAAGTATGCTTTTCCTTGGGGTTCATTTTAGTAGTGAGGAATTAATTCTAATGTACTAATTAGTTTAGCCTTAACGAAAGGCTTGTTACACATGTTCAAGTCTAAACCAATGAGTTAATTGTTAACTGATAAATGATATGTATGAAACCAAAGTGATCCAGGTTTCTAATACATTTTGATTAAATTAACCTTAATCTCAAAATATGTGTCAGAGTAATTTTTCTGATATGGCTACAGGCTTGGTGTTTCGTGTCAAACCCTAAATAACAGCTTTTATAAACAGGATTAGAAAATTCTTCATAGTATGGTAATCTGTTATTCTCAACAAAATCACGTGTATAGAAAGAAAGAACAAATTCAACAGTGAAGCAAACAAAGGCAGTGGGATGGAATGTGACACGGAGAAACATGACGGTTTTTGTAAAGGTATATAAATAAACAGAATGAAGACCATTCATGAGAACAAAGCCAATCTTTTCTAGTCAGGTTGGCATGAAGCACATAGGTGCTTGTTCCCAGGGCACAAAAAAGCAGAAAGCTTTGGTTTCAGAGCAATTTAAGTATTATTTTAGATGGAGAAAACCACTAAGTCCCCTTGCAATTGTAATTGCCCGCCCTTCGTTTTTGTATTATCAAATTTCTACCTTATGCCGACAACATTGGCATTTGTGTGGAGGTTTCTTCTGTGCAATCCTGGCTACGTTTTGCACGTGCCACACCTTAGTTTTTGTGAAAAATTATGTATTTTTTACATTGGTACATAATATTTTTAAGGTTTGCACATTAATACCACAAGTTATAAGTGGTTCTCTGTTGAGTAGGCCGTTTTTATGTTATTTTTCATTCCCCCTGAAAAGATTTTTTTTCTAGCTAGTTAGTGATTTGTCCTGTATTTTCATACCCCACAATTTATTGTGGAGGTTCCTCCACCCCAGCAAATTCTATCGTCATGGATGCCTGGGGATGGTGTCCCGTATTTCTGCAGGGGGCTGAACCCCACCAAGGGTCATATCCCAAGATCACCGCTGCCACAAATCGTATAATTGACATTCCAAATATTTACACTTACATCATTACGTCAGTCACTAAACCTTATGAGTAAGACAGTGACAGTCATGTGTATGGTCAGGTGACCGTAGATCCTTCGTTGCTGAGAAAGATGATTGAATCTATCGCTCGTAACTTAAAAAATGGGAAGCAGTGTTATCGATCTGGCCTGCTTTATATGTACATATGGATCTGTCTGATTTAGAGTTACAGGATAAAAATTTTGATATAAGTGAGAAAATGTATTTACATATGGCATAATGCACATAACACAGGCTATTACTTCGTATATGTTATACATGCATAAATATACATACAGACACACATACATACATCTCAAGGGCTAAATTATCTATGAGCTTGAGGAGGCTTTTGTGTGGGATGGATTTAATAGTTTTGGGTGGGTTTTGGGGTAATTTGAGAAATTACTGAGCTGGAAACTAAAAAACTTGGTATAGCACACAGTAGGAAGTGCAACATGTGACAGTCCCCTTGGCCCTTATAACTGGGAGGCTGCTGGGTGGGACAGGCTCTTTGACGACCAGAAGCTAGCGTCAGGACTCTCACGTTTCATCAGGGGAAGAGCTTTGAGTAATAGGACTGCGAGACAAGAACATAACCGAGACAAAGGTAAGATACAATGTATTTAACATGGGGGGTCAAATTGGAGAAATTCCACTAAATGAAATATATGTAGAAATGTCTCTGGCAATGAAATTATAGCATGCAGGTAAAATGACTTGTGTAACATTTATAAGTAAGATGGCATCAACTGTTCTTTTACTGCCTGATAGGCATTGAAATGTTGTTCATCAACAATATGCAAACACAAACGGAACTATTAAACCACAAAAACATCACCTGTGTATGAGTGAAATATAGAATAACAGTCCCTGGCTATCTTTCTTATTTTCTTGTCAGCCGGGAATAATAACTAAAAACATGACTTCGGAAGGCCAGTCAAAGGTTAAAATTAATTCAAAATTATTCCTTTAATATGACAACACATACACAGAGGCTTTATCTGACACTGCTGCTGCTTGAAAATTTTGTACTATTATTGTGAATATCCAGAAACTAGCATTGTTGCTTTGCTGTAATTTATCGTGGGCTGCACAGGCTTTCCATGTATACATTCTTGACGTGTAGTCAGCTGAAAATGTGTGTATTGGAAATTTGACAACTGGTAATTTATGATGAAATTGACTGAACTAGTTGCATATCTTTGCATACCTCAAATATATACCTGATCACGTGAACTGATCATGATGATATTGTCCTGGATAAGCAGTCAGGGAAAACAGATTTCTTAAATCCCATTTTAAAGTGTATTTTAATGGATTTAATATGATATTGGTGTGATAAAGGCAACTAAAATCTAAACATATATTGTTAATATTCAATGATATACAGGTACTTCTTGACTGACATAAGTAACCTCTTCCATGAACCTTACTGTAATGTATTTATGAGCAGTACTTTAATCAGTTTCTCTTTTTTGCTAGATGTGGGAAAGGAAAGTACTCATGTTACAAATTATTAGCTTTGTGGTGCAGTTCATTACAGCTTCATCGCAAACTATAACCACCACTTCAAGCGTAACTGCAGCCACTTCTGCTTCCGTAACCACATCTGCCTCTCCAAGCATAAATACAACCACCTCTGCATCCATGGCTACATCTAACTATCCAAATGTATCTACAACCACCTCTGCATCCATGGCTACATCTAACTCTCCAAATGTAACTACAAACACCACTGCGTCCATGGCTACATCTGCCCCTGCAAGCTTAGCTGTGATCTCTGTTGGATCTCAGGCTACATCCATGTCTAACGGCTCAGCTACGATCACCGCTGGCTCCCAGAATTCACTCCTCTCCACAGCTCTGGCAAACTCCAACACTTTTGCTCCTTCATCCACCTCCAGAGCCACAGCTCCATCCACAAGCGTGACCTCTTCTGCATCCCCTATTTTCAATTTCTCCATCCTCACCATTGCCGGTACAAAATCCATGCTCCCTGTACATTTACTGATTTGCTCATGTTTATGCTAACACAGTACAGCCACACTCTGTGTGTTTCATACTAGTGTCAGGTACTACCTAATGCTAATGTTTATTTAACATTAACAACACATCACCCTCAATCTGAGTTTTAATCTGTGCTTACAGGTGGGCTGATCTGGGCAACTTGTGTCTACTAAAAGAAAAGCTGTGTGAAGGGCTACACCGTAGAAACAGAAGACCAGATATGTTCCGCTGGAGTTACAACACTGCCACACTTTAGTGCTAGATCTGGGGTTAATCAGCGTCGACATCACTAGTATAAATGTCACATTTTTGGAGACAAGGCCAAAATGTAAATTGAAATTTGCAATATTGTGATTAAAGCCTTTATAATGAGAGATACATATAGACATTATATATATGCTTCAAGCAGAAGGGTTGTATTGCCAGCACATTATGAATAATAGCTTGTCGATAGCAATTAAAATACATAGTGATACTTTATATGGGTATTTAATACGACATTGCACCACATTCTTGAATATACAGTATGTAAGCAAGGGAGAAAATTCAGGTGAGAAAGTGTGATAACGGGATGTAAGGTTGTATTAGATTAAATTGTGTGGCTATGCCTGTGTGAGACATGTGGCGAAATTGCACTGGTACTCAAAAGTTTTATATAAATATAAAACACCACAATACACCCTCAGAATGCCACACACCACTTTGGTGACACTGACGTTTGTCGGTCTAATGCTAAGCGAATTAAGAGCTACTGTCAGTGCTATGACCCAAGTATCCAGTAGCTCCTTACCACATAACAAGTAGTAAAAAAAATGGCCTCTTTTCCATTCCCAATCTGCAAAAGAGGAGCAGAGTTGGACTGCAGTCACCCGAAAGTAACTGATTACTCTTTCTGCAGAAGCCACGCAGTTCAGAACAGCAACTGGAGTGAAAATTATTTGGAAAACGTTAAGAAAAACCTTCTGGAATCAATAGGTCCTGAATGAGGACAAACCGTAGTCTGTTTAGGTCTGAGTAATGACAGGTTTTTGGGGCTCCTTTACCACTCATCCTTCAACCACTAAAAGGCTAAGAGAGGTAGGGGTGCCTGGACCATATCAAAACCAACATAGACTGAGACTGAGACACCCTGGGGGGGATGGCAGCCCATTACACAGCCACTGACACACACATGCTCATTCACCTATGTCTTTTCTATACCTACTTGCCTTATGTAGGCTACGGCACCAGGCAGGGAATAATGCATTATGGGATGCTAACCCATCACAGGTCACAATACACACCAATCACACCTACAGGCAATTTGGCAATCAATTAGCATGTTTTTGGACTGTAGGGGGGGTGGAACCTAGAGGAAATCCCACCACAACACAGGGAGAACATGTAAACTCCGCACATGTACACCATGTGCAGGCAAAGACTGGTCCCAGAAGTGTGAGATAACATTGTTAACCGCTGCATCCCCGTCTCATTCACCAAAAAGGCGGTAAATAGTAAAAGTGTTCCTAAGAAAATAACTACATGGTACAGCTCTTTATAGCGTTTATTCATCCAAACTATTGCTGTTGCATAAAACACGCCGAAAACGCCCATGAGTCCAACTGTCAAACGCCCACTCTAACATCAACGGGAGCATTAGTATGCGGCTCATACATCGCTTTATAAGAACAGAAGTTACAGCAAAAGTATAAAATTATTTAATAAAGCATCTTAGAGACAAATTTATTTATATATAGATAATTTAGTTTTTTTTTTTAAATATGAATAAATACGTAAATATTAAAAATGCAGAATATAATAATAAATATATAATTAATAATACTTACTGCTCGAAATTAAAATGAATTATAAAGGACTAAATTATTAATTAACGTGCAAGTCTAATTTTGACTGAGTACAGATTAACGGCGGTACATTGCCTTTTCCGTCCTATCGAGTAGCGCCGAGCTGTCGGTGCGTTTGGCTGGATGAGGGTCACTGTCCATGGTCATTGTCACGTTCCTCTGTGGTAAATGTCACACTCCTGTATGGGTCTCAACGACGAACGCCATTTCTCAAGTTTCTGCACATCAGTTTCGTACAGTAGGTTGCCTCTTGCTTTCACCTGAATTTAACGCATATCTTTGGAGGTAGGCGGTAGGCGGTGCACGGGTCAAGAATTATTTCGGAGATGCAATTACAGTGTAACATGCCTGTGTGGTTATGACACATAGTTATCTAAATCTATTATTACACATTTCGCCGGAAGACGTCTTTAAATTCCTCCAATGTTTCTTAAAGATAAATCGCTTCATAGAAAGTCAGAATATGAAGCAATCGTAACATTGCATAATATCTATATCCATCTATATACCAGGTACCTGTAAACCACACTGTTACTACTGTACTGTTACTGTTATACTGTTTTTCAGGCTGTTGGTAGATAAAAAAAACAGCGCTACCAGTGCTGTACTCATAGGGAAATGGCTTGTCAAAGCTGAACTGAATCTTTTTTTAAGTAGCCTACCTCCTCAATGTGCAAAATGTACATATGCCCTACCAGAACAGTAATAAAAAAGGCCTTTGTTGTGAAAATAAAACATCTCTGTTGAGCCTGCTATATCCCAGAATTACAAAACTTGGTGGTGTAAAAAATGCATCAGCACCGACATGGATATATCATAAAGAGACTGCAATCTGACACAGATTATGACAATCTCACAATATCTCACAATATAAAGATAGTATATATTAATTAGATGGATTATGAGTGAAGGACAATACAGAACAAAAAATAACATCCATTTTCTGAAATCGCTTGTCCTGTTCAGGGTCATGGGGGGTCCGGAGGCTAAAGGCACAAGGCAGGGAACAAAAAATGATATATATTTTTTTAAATTAATTATTAAACCACTTCAATATAACACTACAATTTGTACTGGTGTGATCACTGTTATCACATGAGTCTTGTTCCAGCACAGACAGTTCCTCCTACAACTTGCTGGTGCTCCAACAGGTTTTCACTTGTTCCAAGAAGTGCTGTGATTCATGCAGGGAGGGGCCACTGCAGTTAAGTTTCATCTGCAGGTGCTTCACAGAAATTCCCCCAGGCGTAAAACGGACAGATGGGCCATAAGGTGTCATGGTGGGGTCAGAGTATTTACTTTAGCAGCACTGCTTCAACTGCTTGGCTCAGTACTTTTTAGTGGAGGGTAAATTCAAATCATCCAATTTATTGCAATGTTTTTTTCTAATAAAGGATGTCAGTTGAACTAACAGAATAGACACCGTTTACCTAAATCCACAGGTCCCCACTATTCACCAGTATCGGCTGTCTAAAGTTCCTAGAGCAGAAGGGTGTGGATATTGTTTCATTGATGCATTTTTTAAATTCTTGTTAGTGCTCAATTGTATAGCTGGGTGTGTTTGTGGTTGTGCCTGTTTTGTTGCCGTTCCAAGAAGTCTGTTTGACAGAAACTGTGAAGCTCTGCTTTCTAGGCAGAACAACTTTGTTTTCTTGGCCAGCAGAGACATATTACCTTAATCAGAGCCCCCTCCCCCCCCCTACTTTTTTTATTTTTTACACAATTGTGTAGTAGTCAATTGGGGTGGGGGGGTGCAGGATTGCCTACTCTGTTCAGCTCGCTGGAGTGAGATTTTCAATTCGAGACTAGTCTGCACAGACATGTACAACCATTTACATGTATGTTAGTTTTATTATCTTAACTATCCCTTGATGAATACTAATACCCCCACTCGACTTGGACCCAGTATTCTTCCCACTTGGGTAAAGCACTCAGTGATCAAATACATTTTTCATAAACAGTATTAATTTTCCTAATGTTTCTCTTTGTTATCCAAGCTGTATCATTTTGTCAGGGTCAGCACCTGTTTTGTCCTAGTCTTGCGTCTTCCCCAGTGTCCTAGTCTGGGGGGTTTCCCCTGTTGGCCAAATGGCTCAATGAGCTAAGCATACAGCTATCAGTTAACCCCCCTGTTGGGTGTTCAAATCCCACCTCCTCTATTTCTGTATTTTGTTCCCTTGTGTTTCATTTGTATGAGTTTTCTAGTTCCTGTGTCTCTGTTTTTACCTGTCTGTAATTCCCCTAGTGTAGACTCTGTTTCCTTGTTTCAGTCAGTGTTTTAGTTTTCCCTTTCCAGTCCCTGAGTTAATTAGTTCCACCTGTTGCCTGTTCTTGTTCCTGCCCTTGTGTGTATTCCTGATTGCTCGTTGTCCTGCACCTTCCCCGATTGGTTAATTGTCTATGTCTCACTCTTGCTGTCTCGTTACCCAGTTCAGTTTTCGGATTTAAGTTCCTGCCTGAGTTCAGTTCTGCAGTGGTTCATTGTTTGCTGTTTCCTACCTGCCGGCCCCGTTTGTAATTTGTCTTTGTTTTCCCCATTTTGCTTATGACTCCTCGTGGTCCTTTACTTTGTAGTGTTCCTAGTGTTTTCTGTTTTTGTTAATAAACCCTGCCCTGCACTGTGAGCCGCAAGTGGGTTGTCCACTTCCTTCCTGCCTGCACCATGCCTCGTCCCCCGTGCCAGAACCTCCCTAATCTGTGACGCATTTGGCATTTGGAATTAAATGTGTCCAACTAAAAGCTTGTGGGAATCTTTGCGCATTACATCATTTCTTTCCTGTCACTCTTGGTCCTACCTTATTAAATTACTTCTTGTCTTCGCACTCTGCCTTAGTCATTCCTCTTGACGCTGAACCCTGAGATTCACTCTAGCAGAAGCTAATTGCCTTTTTCCTCTCCATCAGGCATAAGGAGATTTAAGAAATAAGATAAACAAAATTCTGACGATCTGTGAATTGCCTGTAACCTGCTTTACTTCTTCAGCCAATCCTGTCTCATATTAGTTCTTAGGTTTCAAGTCTCGAGTTCTAATTGTCACGCGTATTTAGGGAACGCAGTCACCGTTGTAGGGGTTGATGAATGGTGCCTAGCATGTTGGCCAAAGAGCAGTGCAATGCTAGACAAGACAATGCAAGACTAAACATATGTGCAATATAACAATAAAAATACATCATAGTAAAACGAAATAGGTCGTGTAATATGAAAATGAAGTAGCTTTGCGAGATATGAATGTTGACAATAATACATTATGAAATGTTGGATTAGTGCAACAGATATTCTGACAAAACAGTAAATACAATGGCTGTGGGATGGAGAGGTGAAGGTCACTGGTTGTTTAGCGATCTGATGACTTGTGGAAAGCAACTGTCTCTGGAATGATGTAAGAGAATCACACACACACACAAACACACACACACACGGGTTTGTAATTATACCTTTGTGGGGACTCTTCATTTCTAGGGGGAAAACTCTAATCCCAACATGACAACCTTAACCATAAGTAACCAAACTAAATACGAGACTTTGTCATTTTTACTTTTTTGATTGCATTCACAGATCTTTTTGGTCCCCACAATGTCACAAAAACAGGTTTTTATTACTTTGGGGGGGGGGGGCATTTGGTCCTCACAATGTAATATTAACCTAATCCACACACACACACACACACAATTTTGCAACTCCTGCTCACCTTAGTATGTTTTTGAACTGCAGGAGGAAACCAGAGAACCCAGTGCAAACAACACGCAATATGCAAGCTCCCAACATGTAGCCCCAGGGCAGAGACTCAAACCCTGGTCTTCAGTGCTGTGAGGCAACTGCACTAGCTGTGTATTACAGTGTATTGCTTACATTTAATACAAAATACAGAATTCTTGTTTAAGTGCTGGTTAATACAGAATATTCTGCATCACAGTGCCTTATACATGGGCCTAATGGGTGAGCTATAAACTGGTCTGTCCTCAGCTTTCTTCAGTATTTTCCACACATAAACACAATGTCTGCAAAAATCCCACATTTATTAATGTTAAATTCAAAACATCTTTCTGAGCTACTGGAATTCAGCACAGTAGTGAAATGGTTGCTGATTCTTTTACATGGAAAAAATGTCTTTGAATATTGTACTCAGAAGTTTGACCCTCAGAAGTTTGACAGGTACATTGTAAGGTTTTGCTAAGTATTTGTAGTTCTGATAAACAAGCATAATTTCAGAAAATATTAATATTGTTAAAACAATTATTACAGCTTTAAATGCATTTTAAATTATGGCATAGAAAATAGGTTTTTTAATTATGCAGAATTATAATATGCCACACATTATGCATAAAACAGTCACAAATCAGTTTCTTAGGGCATTTCTTCGTACAATAACAGAAGAATAACAGAAAATTCCCCAAAATATTTCATCCCATGTTTTAGATGGCTTACCATCAGCATAACATCAAATGAAACTATAAAACATACATGAGGACACGTGTCACCACCACAGCCAGAGTAGCTCAGTCTTACTCAGGTGAGCGCAGTCCAGACTATCGCAAACAATCTTACGGTCCTGAAACACGAATCGTTCCCTTTAATAACGTCCCATTTCCGAAATGAGCAGACGACGGTTAGTTACAGGCAATCTTGTTTGCTCAGGGGTCCTGCTCTTCGCTCTCCATCAAGAGCTCTGTGTGTTCACAATTGTCCTATAGGGACAACAACAACAGTCCTAGGGATTGCGTTTAACGCTGCTGCACATCAGTTCTACACAATCTCCAGGTTTTCAGGGCTGTGCAAAGAGTTTTTTGTGGGGCAAAATTCGCAATTGGGCCAGGGGGAATGGGGGTCCCCCTTCGGTCAAATTAGCATGATCATCTCGGCGACTGAAAAGGGAGACTCAAAAATTGGCTACATTCAAAAGTCAGGGGGTTGTGCAAAAGGGGACTAGTGCACACGCAACCCCCCCCCTCCCCCCCCACTACTGCCAATGAGTCACCCTGTGTCATGCTGAGCAAACCATGCCATACTATAAGCATACACCATGTTATCGTTATATATGGGAGAAGAATACAGCTCTTTATAAGGCAGAACACCATTCTACATTATGATGAACATTGCGCTGTATCGCACTTATAAATGGATATTTATATACTCTATGCTCAAGGAATCAGTCCTTACCTGTGAAATGGGACTATATACCTGTCTGTAGGGGGGGCTATATCGGCTGCGACCTCTCCAGATGAGGAAGAGGGTGTAGAGCGAAGCCAGCATGCACTGGGACGTAAAGAAGATGGAGCTGCCCTTTGCCACATATGCCCCCACCCTCTGGAGGGGGGTGTAACCAGCAGTTAGCCAATAGTTACTAGGAGGAGTTTCCTTGAAAACATTCTTACACTAACAAACATGCGCTAATAGCCAAAATTGTGGAAACATTCCCAATTTTTAGAGACTGCAGAACTTTATTCAGCTGTAGCTCCAGTTACTTATTTAATCCTGCAATGTATGATATTCATAACGTTCTTTGGTTGTTTATAAACAATGCCGCCAATATTGGAGTAGTAATTTTGAAAGCGTAATGCCAAAAATGTCCAATTTTGCCCAATAGTGTACATATTCAGAGGTCGGAGAGTAGGCCACAGATATACTGACCTGTTCTTTGCTGAGTGAGCTGGGCTCTGTGGCAATGTGAAAGCTGTACGTGAGAAGAGAGATGGCTCCCAGTGAGAAGCAGAAGATGTTCAGTCCCATGAGAGCAGTTACCTGGGGAGAGAGCTATTTATTAAAGGCATACTGCCTTACCAAAACCTTGCAGAACATTTTAGGAAGCAGTCAGACTCACTTTGACCTTGTTTGGTTTCCTCTGAACATGAATGGTAAGCCCCCCAGTGGCTACATACTGTAAAAACAATTTTAAGATATTAACATTTTGACAGGCACTGGTGTAAAACTCAAGCTCTTGAAATTTTTCGTTCTGGTGCACCCTTTTCCTATATCTTAAAAAATGCATAATATGAATGGTCATAAAACTCCTTACACCAGTGATCAATTGATCAGGAATTATGTGTAATCATATTTTGATGTTTTTAAAAAGACCTTAATATTTGTATGCAGCAACAACATTTTTTGTCAGTTTTTACATTCCTTCAAAACCATTGCACTGTTAAAGTTATGGAAAATGTGGAGGCATTCAAAATTCCAGTGTTCAATAGAAAAACAGACTTACAAAGACACCTGCCCAGATAGGGGCTGTCATGTAGACAGCACAGCCCAAGTCCATGCATATGAACGAAACTGTGGTGAGAATAGTAGCCAGAGACCCAAGCACTTGTAGCACCTTAAGGAGAGACATTGAGAGACACCCTCAGCTAATCACAGGATACACTGTTACCTTTACAGGCACCTGCACAGTACTGTGTAGGAGAAGAGAGGTAATCAGTGTTTTATTAGCTTATTGGAACATTGTGGCAAATCTCAATGACCTTTCAAGTGTGTTGTGGGGTAGAAAATAGAAAGGGTGCAATGAGAGGGTGATGCAGACATGGGAGTGTGAATGAGTAAAGAGACAGGAGGGAGATGAGAGAGGGGAGGGAGTGCAGTGCATGGCATGCGAGTAGAGTTCTCACCCCTGTAATTAGGAGGCGCGTGTTGACAACAGTGCTAAACCAGCGCACGATGTGGGCCTCTTTTAGCCCCAGAGGACGGGAAACGACTGTTTGTGAGGGAGACAAAGGTCGCTCCTTAAAAAACACCTGATATAACCCCTCCTGGAACATGTTCTCGGTCATCTGAAGGTACGCAAGCTGCGGAACGGCAAGATACTGAAAATCACCGGGTGGGCATACAACCAAGAAAGTGACACTGCTCAGTCCACATGTCCCATTTACAATCAAAGGCAGTCAGCCCAGCTATTGTATCCCGACTGAATTATTCAGTAAATTGTTGCAGGACAGAAGGATCAGCTTTTCCCGTCATCAGTTTTCATCTTTTAGAAGTAGCTTTTAAATTTCCAGTTATCTAGCTTTTTTAATTTATTGCCCTGAACAGAGACAGATATACAAACACAGTCTGACCTCCCCAGAATTTAAGGTGGAGTCTCAGCAAACTCTTACCCATAAGTCCCTGTCTCCACTTACCTTGAGCCAAGGCACAGCTGCTGGAAGATTTTCAGACCCTAGGGGACAGACGTGACCGCACCGTATTAATGGCCACCAGAGAGTTCTGCATAAAGTTATTTCTTCTTCTTGAAGGCCTAGCCCTTGAGGGTCGAAGTTCACCTACAGTATGAAATCAATGGTGTCATCCTTTTGGTTGATAAGGCCTCACGTGCAGTTCTGTGCTGTGTTGTGATTGGCTGGGACCTGAGAGTCAGCAACTATAACAGTCCAGAAAATGTACTGAAGATTACAAAAACTAGCATTTCCAGTGCTGACTTTTCAATCATGCTGCCATTTAAAATATGAATTCTGATGACAGTAGGACAAATTAACACAATATCTGGTCTATGTAAGTAGGTGATTTTTTTTATTGCTCACATGAAGATCAAGCAAAGGTGTTGTGTACTGGAGCTGCTCTATACTCCGTACACAAAGGATGAATAAACAGGAACCCAAACCAATGTGAATGTCCAGTGACACTTCCTTCTGTTTGTCTGTGAGGCAGAATCATATCATACCATGCTATTGGACCAGGGAATATTGTTCAGGTATGTGCACAGTTCTCTGTGGGCTATAAACATCAGTGAAAGAAGCTGGATGGCAAGATAACAAAGTCATTGCCGAGAAACAAGTGACTCATTCAGTTTCCACACCTTCTGCAGCCATACATTGTTTCTGTAGTTCATGCTGGCATCTCAGACACATTCCACACGTTGCTGATCAGAAACCTCATCTCTGCCCTATTTTCTTCTCAGGATCAAAAAAAAAAAAACATTTGCTCAACCCAATGAAAGTGATGTCGTAAGATTCATCGCACAGATTTTTAGAAGGATAGTCTATAAAGGCTACGTCGACCGTGTCTTTCGAAGGATGTGGGCCCGGAATTAGAACACAGCTATAGAGTTTAAAAATCCGGATTGACTAACGGGATGCAGCAGCTGATGTAAAGAAAATGACTGTGCTGCCAGCCATATAACAGTACATTACATAATATACAGTATCTAACTATTGTAATAATACCCATAATATTTGAAAGTAATAATAATTTATGTATTTACTTTACTGAATTTTTATCACAATTTTAACATGTACTCTCTCATATAAACTCTCTTCTTTATTTAGGAAGTACAAGTACAATACAGGTGCAGTATATTGTATTACCATATAGGTTTGTATACAGAGCACATAGTGTTTGTATATCATCCAGGTCCCCTAACATCCTATTGGTCAGAACATAACCCGCACGTTAAGCGACGTACCTAAACTCCGTCTGGAGTTTTTGATTAATTACTAATATTTGGAATATGGAATGAAAAATAAAAGGTTAAACGAGTGATGTTTTTTTTTTCCAGAAGTATTGGCCACTTTTCGTAGCAGTCTGGAGGTTGGCACGTTCACTGTGTGGACAGCAGAATGGCATTTATTCCGATGTTGTAAAGAAATCTCCAACTATTGTCATCCCCCCCCGTTACAGATGAAATATGAATGATGTTCAGTTGCATTCAATGCATAAATGACTTTCTGGGTATGTTTATTTTATCTTAACTTAAAAATGCAACACATCACATTTCTTAACCAAAACCAAAGGATGATTGTAGAGAGTGAATTTAGATGTAGCCAATTGCATCCTGGAGCTCCTCCCGGATCCTATTCAGCTCCGTGTGCTGCTCCTGCAAATGCTGTACCACCTCCTGGATCTTGGTGGCAAACTCCCTCTTGGTGCTTTTCTTCAGCTCACACGTGTCCTTGCCTATGTAGAAGCTGTCCATGCTTTGGAGAAAACTTGTAAGTTCTCCTAAAACGATGCAGACTACACTCTCCGCTCGGTTGACTCTGTCCCCCCCCCCCATGGCAATCTGGAGAGCTCGCCGTACTTCCCAGTCCGTGTGGTAGGTCCATTCCTTCCTTCGCTGACCATGACCCTGCAACTTCTCCATCTCCAGTTTGACAAAACTCAAGTGATTATTGATGTCAACCATCTTGGCCTGATAGTCCTCCATTATACTCTCCAGATTCTTGCGCGCCATAGAGTTGCTGAAGTTACCAGTGATGCCAGCTGATGCAGGAGAGGGGCACCCTGTCGGGGCCACACCCATCTCCATTGTAGGGATATTTAAAGAAGTGTCCAGATTGACTGGAATGATGATGCTGGGGACTTTGGCCCTCTTGTGCAAGCTGCTGATGTCATCAGCAATGGCATTAAGGGTGCCAATGTGCTGCCAAAGGCCTTCTGCATGCTCAGTGAACACCCTGTTGAAGTCATGGATCCCACCTTGCACCCTGTCTGCCAGGAACGCTAGTGCTCTGGTGGAAAGAAGAGTTGAGGGACAGTAAGCAGGATAAAGTAGGTGGATTGATATAGATGCACATTAAAGCATACAACGAGTGATTTAGAGAAAGTAAGGTATCTCAGTCAATCTGACTCATAGGAGGCTTACTCTGCCTCTTCTTTTTCAGTCAATTCTTTTTCTTCAAGGGTCATGTCGTTCCATTCTGAAATGACAGATGGTGACATTTATACACGAACAATAGGCTACATAGGCAAAAGTACACCATTCTGCATTATTATAAGTGTATATGCTTGTGGGAGTGTCTGCATGCCCATGCACTAAAGAGTGAGCGCATATATGGATGCATGTAAGGTAATCTCACGGTTGACTCTTTTCCACCCCGCATTAAGGCTGCCAGTGTCCTGCAACAGAAACAAGGCCATTTAATGACAGTTGATCCCAAGGGAAAATTATTGATTTTCAAATGAATCTTGAAATGAACGGAACCTTGGAGGCATCACTCACAGACTTACAGCTAATGCTGATATTCATATATATTGTTTTATAAGTATAAAATTATAGTACAATCTGTGGCCACGTAATTAGGTACCTCTATGACTCCATTTTGCCTCCAAGGCAACTTGAACGGTTGACGAGAGATGCCTTCCTGCAACCCACTGTTGTATTTGCCTTTGTTGTTTTTTTTGCACTTGTTTTTTTTTCATGTTAACTTTAACCTTTGATCTCTCTCATTAACCATGTGTTTTTGCCAACATGGGGTCTCCAAGGGTCTCCCCTTGGATAGCTAATGTCCAGTAGGTTTTCTATCTTACCTGGCTTCTGATGAGCCACACCTGTTCCTGGTATTTACCTGAGAACAGCTGTGGCTCATCAGAAGTCAGGTAAGACAGAAAACCTCCTGGATAGTAGCTCTCCAGTACTGGAGTTGGAGACCCCTGCTTTAGATACTTTAATCTGTGAAAATCCCAGCCACTCCTTCTGAGATACTGGGATCACCATGTCTGGCACCAGCAGGTGCCACATTTACAAGCAGGTAGATGCTGCATCTTAGCCATTATAATGCTTAGCAGCACAGTAACTGGACCTCTTTACTCTGTCTGACTGCATACTCTACATAACCGGCAGGTGTACCTAATAAAATGGCCACTGAGCTTCCATGTAAAAGAAAATCTTAAAGTGCCCTCAGCAAGAGACAAAGTGACTGACAACAACTTTAAATGATACGTTCAACTGATCATTGCATCCTTTTTTCTTTCTAACATGGTTAATTCAGCATTGATGTGGCTATGAGTAACCCAGAAGCATATCTGATGTAGGAGAGTGAAACTGACCCCTGCTTTCCCATCTTCTGTCTCCCCAGCCTCTGGACCATCAGACAGCATTGTGTCAATTGGAGTGGACTGTTGTCCTGGCTGTGTGGGAGGAGAAGGTCATGTGACACACATCCCTCAAGCTCAGAGAACCTGGGGAAACACCCTCTAACTTGTAGGCCCAAAACTGCACTAAGCAAACACAGAAACCCAGAGACAGCAAAACCCTCAAACATAATGAATAGATATGCTCCAAAGAATGTGGGGAAAATATGTCTGTGTGTGCTGTGATAAAGAAAAAGGAAAAAACAAAATGAGAGGAAGGACACATCTGTGCATGTGAAAGAAAATTAGTGAATGTGAGTGTCTGAGTGTGTGATTTGGTGTACGCAATATATGCGCAGTCAGGTGTGAAGGACACTTGGGCACCAGTCCTATACATGCCGTGTTTATGGGTACATATGTTGAGCTGCACGCTCATGTTCTCGAGTATTTCATTGATAAACAAGCAAGAGAACTGGCAAGGCCAACAATCTGCTGATGAGATCATGTTGGAATGGGGAAGTGGAGAAGCTCTTTCGTTAGATCAGATAACATGCCAATTAATCGGGTCCTTTCACTTACTCTCAGAATCTCAAGCCATCTCTTGTCAGCTCTCTGGTCAATTACTGGATCAGACAAAATGTCTTTCATTCGGTGTTGCAGTGAGTCACCTTACCTCTGCTGCACCTGTGAGGGAGGATTTGCCTGAAGCGACTCCAAGCGGAATGTCCCTCAGCTCTGTTGTACCCTATAAGACAGGGAATATGGTGCAATTTAAATATCTAAGTGAATGTGGAGTTAGAGACGGAGTGAAAATCAAGACAAAGGAGAGGAATTGACCATACAAACAACTAAAGAGAGCCATTAAATACAATTTACTGTGTCTGTTTACAGACACATGCATGCAAACAATATGTACAATCTACTCTAGACCTTATGCATGTTGTGTGGAGATCTCCATTTTTTTCTCCAGTAAACAAACGAGCAGAATCAATTTAATGCAAGCAAATTCACAAACCAGCCTTACAATTATACACACAATTTACCTTTAAGCCTCTGAAAGTTGCATAGAGATTTTCACGGTTTGTTCCTTCCTGATGAGTTTCCTGAAAGAAACAATTTATAAAGACCAGCAAACTAAATCAATTACAAAATAACCTCAGGTATTGCATAGAGGAGCATACAAAACTATATGAGAATGTATGAAAATATGCACAAACCAAAGCACATGCATTACCTTGGCTGCTCTGAGAGACAAGAATTTTATCTTAAATTTCTTTACTTTGTTGTGTTGCTGGAAGGAGCAAAAACAAAATGTCAGGGAAAACTGGCAGGTAACAGGAATCGGGTAGAGGGAAGAGCGACAGTCGATACGTACCATCCCATCCTGGACATCAACTTCTGCTCCTTTCTCCTTAAGGAACTCCGTTTGTTTTAAGGATTCATCCAATTTCTAGCAATGCATTAGTACAATTAATACACATACAGATGCATATTTTCACATTTCACACATTGTGGGTCTCCACATTCCTTTTAATCTACACATTTACTCGTAACTCACAGCATATTACAGTATATAAATGACAAAGTACACCTCCCACAACAATATATACAGGCAGTACCCAGATTACAATGTGTTCCGTTCCCCAAGTTTGTCATTAAATTGAATTTGCAGGTAAGTTGGAAAAATAATAATACAGTACATAATAATAATAATATTTATTCAGGAATTATAAAAGTAACTAAATACGATACTGTGCTGCACCTCGAGCAGACGAACCGCTAAAGCTGTGCTTGTGTCTTCACGAGTGTCACAAAGTAGTGTGTGTGTTCGTTATTACGAACCACTGTATTGAATTTTTTATATAATGGACTTTATGGCAGTCCGTTCCAAAGTAAGAGTTGTCTGTAGGTCAGACGTTCTTAACCCGGGGACTGCCTGTATTCAGTTACTGAATATACAATTTCACCTTAGAGCCTCTTCTCTGGATTAATGGTACCTTGAACTTCTTTCCTTTCTTCTGTAAAAAGGTAAAACGGGCCAATATGGATCGAGCTAATTTAAATTGGAAGAGCACATTAACACCAGGCTATGGGCAACCAAGAAGAGAGGAGCTATCCAGAGATGTACCAGCTTGTCACTTCTTGCAAGCCCACTCTGATCCATATCTTCTCTGCTTTCCTGTTCCATCTCTACGGCGACCTAAATGTCAAATAAACCCAAAGCAAGAGGAGAAATACATGTAGTTTCAAATTATTATTATTATTTTCCACAGCTACATGTATCTTATATTGCATGCTCACAGATGCAGCTGTACCTTGGCCTGCACAATGAGGTCATAACATCTTGCTTGACAAAACTGATCTGTGCTTAGGTCTACGTTATATGACATAGTGTAAAGGCCTTACCTTTAATGCTTCTCTCCGTAGTCTTAATTTGCCAGCCTATAGAGAGGATCAGAAGAGGATAGATGATGAAGTAGTAGGTTGGACAGTATTGGACAAATCAAGTTTCATATTGCCTATATTTGTGTGGGCTTTCTTCGGTTTCCACCCATAGTCATAAAAGAATCAGTCTACCCTTCCAGGGTATCTATGCACTGTACCCTATACTTCCAGATATAGGCACCAGGCCCACCAATGACCTTGTCCAGAATGAGATGTATGGATGGAAGTATTATATAAAAAAAATAAAAATAAACAATGGAAATCCGTATGTAACGTAGAAGGTTTTTGACACAACCCCAGTATAGACTACTAGGGTACTGTGTAATGGAATAGCATATCATTGAAGTGCAGCATGGGAAATTATGACCACTACAGAATGGTACAATGCTGGACTAAAGTTTTAGTACGTACTGGTTTCCAGGAAGGATTAAGCTCGGGACTACCTTCTGGCCAATCCTCTACACATTTCTCCTGAAAAATACATATATTTGTTATTTTCTATTGTAAGAGGTTGCATAATGAGTGAATACACAGAAGCACACCTATAGGATAAGCATGAGTTCCACATCTGCATGCATAACCATGCTTGTGCACACGCAAGCACGATAAAAAAGAACACAAATATTTATAGACCTGTCCAATGAGAAGGATGTCCTCACAGTATGGGTTTTCTTCATGAACAGTCTTTACATCGCCGCCCTGCAGGATCACAACAGAAATGGAACCCTCCCATTTCTTACTCACAGAATTAATTAAAATGCAAGTAGTTGGGGTAGAAGATATAAATTTTAAGGGTGACAACGTGGCAGCTGACACCCCTGGGGAGGCAGTAGAGAAAACCTGCATGACACTTGTCATTATAAATAGCAACACTGTCTGTTTTATTGCCTTATATGCATGTAATAAATATATAAATATCAATTAGATGATAATCTGCCTGAGATAAAGAAAAAAACGATCATCGTATCGTATCCGTATAATGATCATCCGCTAATACTGATCAATTTCACCCAGACAGAGGTGATCACTATAAGAGGTTTCCACTGTATATTTGGATCTGATTCTGAGGTTGTGATTCTAAAAGCATTGTATTTCTGATCAGAAGGAGTGGCCTTTAAGAGATCTTGTTTCTGGTCAGTGTGTGGTTTCATCAGGTTTCTGGGAATTGCCTGGACAGAATGTTCTCCTCTCATTTGCAGGAACCAATTTCAATCAAAACATTTAACGACGCATAATTTTCTGTGCTTTGCGTGTGTTAGTGAGAGTTTTCACCCTATAAAAATATAAAAAGTTCTGCCCACTGGAGATTTCTAAATATCCTTTATCATGCTTTAGCCAAGGACTGGAACGAGGTTAGAGCCATTACAGTATCAATTGGGACCAAACATGAAGAGTGAGTACCTGGCGGGAGCTTAAATGCTCCATGGAGGAAGTTCCTGACAATGTCAGCTCCTGAAAAAGGGAGAGCATGACAGAACATGAAACTGCATCACACTACAGCCGTTTCCATTATGCTGCGTCTGCTCCAATAGCTATGCGTTGGTTGCTTCAGAGTTTTTCACTGTACCTGAAAATCAGCACCTTCTGTACAAATAAGCATTAACGGGGGCATTGTGAGGCTCAGTAGGTTAAGCCTCTGTGCCTGCGATCTGAAGGTTGCTAGTTTCAACCTTAACAGTTACATTTCCATTGGGCCCCTAAGCAAGACCTTTAATCACCCTGAAATGCTCCAGGTGTGCTAGAAAAATGGCTTGACCATGTGCTTAGTCCCCAGGCTTTGGTCTCAAATGTAGATGTAGTGTACCTGTACTTGTGCAAATGGCGAATAAAGCATCATTTCATTAAATATAAAAGCAGGATGCAACAGGTATGTAGTAAGACTGGAATTGAGACTGGAAGTTAGAATCTCAACCTGCAAGTGTAGCCTTGGTCACCCATCACAACCAAGAGCACCCTGGCTTTGGTCACACTTGCTCCTGGTAGCAGCATAGGTTGTATGTGTTCATACTACGGACTTGTATCTTTCCCAGGGTATACTCATACTTTCAAGAATTCAAGGTTTGCAGTCAGACTATAAAACCTGCACTGAAATGGAAGGTGGCCAAGTACACCATAATTAAAATGACCTGTGCTGCCTTCGACATGCTCCAAGCCCCCCAACAACCCTGTCCAGGATTACCTGTTGGAAGATAGATGGATAATGGACAGATCAATGTGCGCATATATGTAGGTTTCAATAAATCAAAAATCTCTGGGAATATGTACATCGGAGTAGGTAAGAGTTTAGGTGGTTAAAAAGCGAGTGTGTAAACCTCAGCACTGAAACAGGACAAACCACAATGCCGAATTCAGCAACAAAAGTTAGTGCTGGCTAAAGTAAAAGGAATGATCGAGAGATAGAGAGGAATGCCAGTTATGTGGTCACTGAAACTGTGGAAGAACTCTCCTTTACACTTCTGATTTGTTTCCTCTCCGTCTCATTCCATGTTTTATATAAGCGACTGCATAGAAATATAACATTTAAAGCACAGCTAACCTTTGTTATTTAAGCGCTGGTTAATAGTTGGCTAAATAAAGTACACGATTATATTAATTTATTGGGCCAAACAAAGTAATGCAGGTATATTTTATTAAAAAAAAAAAAAACTTAAAGTATTTTATATGAGGTGCCAAATGAATGTTTTTTCAGTCGTAATTTTTTTTTCCGAACATTTATCAATAATCGGTGATATATTTTTTCATACACTCTTGTTCCTGTATAAACTTGTCACGAAATGTTATGCAACACACAGATACACTTATATATTTATGAATTATTTTTGACAATATCTATAAAGTGTCGATTTAAGGAATAATGTTTTTAAGTAGGTTTACCATATATTTTCCTCGTTGTTTAGTGTCTATCTGATGATCGCGCCGTAGTAACGTCTAAACGTGTAGCCCTTGCAATCCGAGGTTCCTCAAGCGAAAGCGAAAATTATGCCTGCGTCTTCTTTCTCTGCCATTCATTAGTCACCCTTTCTCAGTTTTCATTTGTTAAGCTGTTAAGAAGCCCCCTCACCACCCCCAGTAGTCACGTGCAGAAACGGCTGGTTTCAAAGCAGGAAGTATTCGACTCGTCAGGTGAGTTTCTGGAAACATCCAACTGCAGCAGAATTTTGAAACGTAATTCCGAAATAATAATAAATGTGGGCACACTTCATGAAGATGCAAATCATATACTTCAGTAATGCTTAAATAATAATGAATTTATGCAAGATGTATCATGAATTCCTGCTGCCCACCATGAGCTAATAATTAAGTCACTGTGGCATTTGGATTGCTTCACGCTTAATTAATAGGCCATTAGTTAAGCAATGTTAATTTACAGGTATTTCATACATTAATTGATAATTGCCTCAAAATTAGCTGGATTAGAATTACATAAAGCCATCTTGCAATAATTCATGCATTAAATCATCATTAGTTAAGCATTACTGAACTATATGATTTGTACCCTTACGAAGCTACCATAAATGGGTCAACTTGAGGGGACACAAATACAATAGTACACATTTACTTAATGCATTAATTAACCAGTAACTAAGTGTTAGTTAAGTACTGATTCCATGTTCATTCATCATTAATAAATCATGAATTCGGGAACTATTAAAGGGGCAGTTCACCCCAAAACTGGAAAAAAATAATTAAAAAGGGGCTTCAGTGCTATCTATCCATCTAGGTCGCTCTGCTGGAAAATGCATACTTTTGGAGCTATCAGTCATAGAAATGTCGGTCTTCTCTTGTATATAATGGGACTGAAAAAAAAAAAAAACATCCACAAACAGTGATCAGTTTTACCCAACAGATGTGATTAGGCCTACTATAAGCAGTTTCCACTATAAGTCGTTTTGTTATCTAGTTCTTTCTTAGTTATTGGGGGATGGATAGTGATCAAAGCAGGACACAGGCTTTTATTTATGCTTTACTTATAGGGCCCATCACATGCAGTATGTTCATGATTCTTTTTAGATTTGGCCAGCAGGTTCAGGTTCAGGTTACTTTATTTGTACCCGTAGGTAAATTTGGGGCACAGTCATGAGTCATACATCCTACATACAGTACACACTTCAACACAGGAACAACTAACAACAAAACAGATTAAAAAACGCTATGATCTATTTATCAGAGTGATGGCTGCTGGAACAAAGCTGTCTTTAAATCTTTTTGTTCTACATTTTGGGACCATTAACCGTCATCCAGAGGGAAGAAACGGAAACTCACTGCGCAGAGGGTGTGAAATATCAAGAAGAATTGAACCAGCTAACCGCTGTAACTGTCTGGATTACAGGGATGCTGGACTCAGCTGTGACTCACCAATCAGCCTGTTAGGCCATTTCACAATCTGGTTGAGTGAGTTTCTGTTCTTTACAGATAAATGTCCAAACCATGACACCAAGGAAAAGGATAAAATAGATTCAACAAAAGATGGATCTTTTGTTTTCCACAGAATAAAAAACAGTGTAATGTGATCCCACTAATAAGCCCTAGCAAGTTTCAGATTAGACTCAGACATATGGAGACACAAAAAAATGAATTAATTGATGTATTTCAAATGTTCTTGAGGTACAAAAAAATACATCTGCTCAATTTTTAAAAGCAATTAAAACCTATTAAAAGCAATATGGTAAAAGTAAAAGCAGTCCGGTAAAATTAAAAGCAATACGGCAAAAGCAAAACGGTAAAATTAAAAGCAATATGGCTAAACGAAAACCAATACGGCAATATTATAAGCAATATGGTAAATGAAAAAACAATCCAGTAAAATTGAGAGAAATATGCAATATTTAATTTATCTTTCCCTTATTATTTTATTTTTATTTGTATCTATTTCACTTTCATATTCAACGTTTATTTCCTTATTGTTTTGCAGATTTATTCTATTTTTATGGCACTCCTATGACTCCTGTGGTAGAAAAATCAATGATAATGCAAATACAATTGTTAGGTATGTGAAGAAAAATTAACATCAAACTGGCACCATTGGAAAGAGCTTGAATAAACAAAGACAATGACACCAAAATCACTCAGATATCTTAACAAATAAGGAAATTATTGGCAAAAGAAGTTCGCTAATTAGCCCTATTTTTTAAAATGGAATGAGTGTAGAAAACTGTGACCAAGTACCTAACTTTTTATATAAAAACGCTTGTAGTTTCATTAATAATCAAGATATCTCAATGAAACTTTCAGGGAAGGTGTATCTCTTTATATTCTTCAATCTGAAAGAATAATATATATTCCAAGTATGTCCTTAGTCTGAAATAAAATTGATACAAGGTGAAGACTGGAATGGTGTATCAACAGGCGCCGCTGTTGGTTTAGGTCACGTGACCATGTGAATATCTCTTATCTTCTGCTTAATTAAATGCGACTCAGTGGATATAATCATCTTTTTCACATCTTAAGATATTTCCCTAATATCATGGCATATTGATGCAACAAATCACTGATGAACATACAGCAGATTTCAGGATTTTTGGCCCGTGACGATCCTGTATGCTGCCGGTCCGGGTCAGTAAACTTTTTTTCTGATCCATAGAAAGCTATGAAACTGCAGGATTAGAAAGATGAAATGATAAACAATATGTCAATTTAGCTTTCAAAAGCGTCACTTAATCCTTTGAAGTGGTTTTTGTATGTTGAAATCAAGTGTATTTTTCAACGTTTCCGGAAAAGGTCTAAATGTACACAGAATTGAAAAATTCAAAACAGAGGAGGAAGAGGGGTTCCCCATCTATGTTATCAGTGGGAATACCGCGGAATTCCGCAATGCGATACAATAAGAATGCGTATTTTCCGGGGTATACCCAGTGCTCAGATGACCCGATGGTGGAACAGGAATCTGGAACAAAAAAGGCGGCCATGTTGGTCGCGCTCTTCACATACCTACAATTGTAATTTCAATCAGTAATTACCAAAGAAATTCATAATGACACTGTTGATTTAATTACAATGATTATAATAATTAATTGCTGCTTTAGAATGGTTATTATGCTAAACATGTAATACAATAATGCAAGCTTGCTGAAATAATGGGTTTCTCACTTTTAAAATTAGAAGCATTTTATGACGAACTAACATGTGATATTTGCTGCACAGTGATATGATTGGTGTGTGGAGTTCGGTAGAAAAAAAATAGTTCCTACTGTAGATTAAACTGCTCACTGCAAATCCCGTGGATTATCTTGAGTAACTGGGTCATGATTTCTGGTAAGACACATTGCTGTTGAATTTTTCTGGCGCTTTAACCACCACAGAAAGAATGCCATTACTGCCATTATATTCGATAGAAGACCAACATTTCTATGGCCGATCTCTCCAAAACTAGGCAACTCCTAATAGAACAACCTAGATGGATAGATAGTACCAAAGCCCCTCTAAAATATATCAATTTTCATTTTTGGGGTTAACTGCCCCTTTAAACGTACAGTATATGTCTTATTTTAAATGCATGATCATAAAAACCAATGTGTTTTCATAGTAAAAGTTCTAATTTTGTGAACTGCAGGAGTCACAGGAAGTATGATTATACTATGATATGAGGATTAGGATAGTACAGGGGGAATTCCATTCCATTCTAAGGTCCATTTGATATCACATCCATAGTACTGTTAAGATGCTATGTATTTCTAACATGTAAATTAATATATAAATTTTGACAATTTGTCTATATACAACCCAAGAAGTTACACGAAAAATATGCATATTGACTCATTGATACTAATCTTGCCCATGCTCTAAGGCATTTGTTTTGCTGATATCAGTTATATCCATTATGCTGGAATTGCCAGAGGTTATGTGAAAGTGATGAGATAGCTGGGATAAGCCTGATCATCGTGGAAAATTACAAACATCTTGGGGTTCTGGTTGTTGTCCACCAAGCTGTCAAATAGGTCATTCGGGTCAGATCCAGGGCGCGAGGGGGGAATCTTCATGCTCGATTTTCCCACTGTGTAGTGTCCAGTCAAAACATTCGCCACATACATGTATCTCAGACCTCCATTGTCTGGAGGCGAGAACAATGGATTGGCTGAGTAGCTGGCCTCCACTGCAAAGTACGCACCTATTCCATAGGCTGTTCCTTCAGACAGAGAAAATAGTGTTGCTGTGATCATCCTTAAATGAGATGACTTGTATTTAAACAGCACCCAGTTGCCAACAAGATCTCCCCTTTCACCAGTTCCCAGTAAAGAATGCTTTGGCAGCATGCATAGCTGAATTTGCAACAAGAAAATGGGAATAGAGTCGAAGGTGGAGTAAAGTGTAGAAACATTGGGCCTCATTCACCAATATTTTCTTAAGAATTCTCTTAAATTTGTTCCTGCGAAATTTAAGAACAACCTACGTCAGATTCATGACGTGTTTTAAGTAGCAGAATTGTTCATACCTTTTTTCTTAAGAATAGTGAATCCCACGTCTTCGTAACTGAAAGCGCAGGCCAGTTTGTCCTAATTAGCATAGGGAAACGCCCTGTAATTTCCCATAAAAGGGCATGAGACTGTAGGGCATGAGACCGTGTGCAAGGAATGGCGAAGAGGCGTGCAGGCTGTGAGCTGCTTTGCACCAAGAGGAAAAAAAACTTAAGTAATGCTGAAGTAGAAGTATTAATACAGTAAAATCCCGATATAGTGGACTAGCTTATAATGAAATCTCATATATAACGGATGAGATCCGCTGGTTCCGGCTGTGCGCCTTTAAGAACATGCAGAAAAAGTATCGGATATAGCGGACTCGCATTTAATTTCGCTTATAACGGACAAACAATTTAGTCCCCAGTGCCACTTTTAGCTGTAGTTTTGTTCGGCTATAACGGACATGCAGCTCCGCCGATAAGGCGCGTGGTGTGCCGGTAATATCCAGCGCAGATACGTAGTCGGGATTATTAATAGTCACGCATCTGCTGAGGTAAAGTTGGGTTACTGCAGGTACAATATAATAATTTATAATAATTTAATGGGGTGTGGCACGAGTAAATGGTGTCCTGTAGTTGTGTTCTGGGCATACAACAACATATAACGGACTTTGGATATAACGGACTATTTTGCCAGGTCCCTTGAAGTCCGTTTTAACTGGATCTTACTTTAAAGGAGGTAAATGCAAATAGACACATGTTATTTAGTAGCTTAACCAGCGGATATGAAGTCCCAAAGAAAGCTGATACATTAAAAGATATCACCTTCTCTGAACACTGTGTGCCAAATAAATCTAAATGATCTTCAAACATGCGTTCCCTTCTCAGAGCACGATTGGCAAGCTCTTCAAGAAGTAACAGAAATGCCATTTTGATAGAAAGGTCAATACACAGAAACAGACCTATTTATAATCCGCATGATCGACGTTACTACCAAGAAAATAATTTTTACACTTAAAAATTATTTTTTATATTTTACTTTCATAAATTATTCAAAATATTTTCATTTTATGAACTGTAGAATGAACAAAACTTCTATAACCGATTATTTTGAACAATCTATCATTACTCAAATGTGCGTACGAATGGTCTTGAGTGTGCGTAGATTCTGTTCTTAGCTAAGAACAAATTCAGATAAGAAAACATTGGTGAATGTCAGAATCTTCATAAAAAAAGTGCGTATGTGGAATTTAAGAACAAATTTGTTCTTAAGAACGGTTGGTGAATAAAGCCCATTGACACTGGATACCAGCGTCTTCTAAATAAATAAATGTTATCGAGTCAGTCTAACACAAGTCGGATAAAACTAACAGCCGAGACTATTTATGCTGTGTATAAGGACAGAGAGATGCATGGAGGGTAGAAGGAGGAACGGATCTGATTGTGTTTACCATGCTGCCCTGCGAAGCTCCTGTTAAACCCCCCCTTTTCAATGGAGACACGTGCACCAGCTGATGTCCCATGGTACAGTAGTTTCTCTCCAATCTCGCCTTCCCCATTCTTCTCCCGAAACTGTTCCAGTTTCACACTGTATGCTTGCCAAAGGTGAATGTTCTGCACACGCTCAATCTAGAAAAGAAACTTAGTACTTAAACCATAAAAGCTGTGCTTATTCAGAACATTTAGCTAGCCATGTAACACTCTGCCTATATAATATATAAAAAGCCAATATCTTTTCACAAAAATAGCAGAAATAATATGAATAATGACTGTTTCTCTTTATACACTTTATACAACATAGAATATACTTTACCACACTCTATAAACAATGCTATTGCTGATTTTCATAATTTTGCAGTACACATATTTATGCAATATTTTTGATCACTATTCACTTTGTCTCAGAGTGTAATGGTGATTACTGACCATTATCACTTCATGTATAATGGGTTTTGACAGTATCTCACTTGTATAATTTGCTGGGCAGCGGTCCCCTGGAATCCGTTGGCCACTTTCTGGTATTCATCTGTGCCTGGCTGAAGAAGCACCTTTTTCAGTGACTCCCCCTGGGCCATAACATCCCAGGATTTAGGAGGGCTAACATCTGGAACCATCAGCACAAAAAGATATAGGTAGTAGTAATGAAACAGAAGCAGAACCAAAATACATTTGAAATAGAAATCTTCTAAAAGTTTCAATTCCCAACAACCATAACTGTCTTAATTGACAGAAGCAGCAATATAAGCAGGTGTTGTAATAAATAATACATCTAAGAATAGTAGTAACATAATTAGCTACTGTAATAGCAGTAGTGACTATAGTACATGGGTAGCAGTAGCTGTAACAGTGGTAGAGGATGTGTAAAAATCTGCTAGTAAAATCAATGTAAATGTTAATTTTGTATATAACACAAACAGCAGTAAGTAGTTCTCACCTGTACTGAACTCTACCCTCTTCAGCTGATAGGTCCTTCCTGTGATATGGTGAATGGCCTGTTTTTTTTGTAAGTCCACCCTGAGCTTTGCCTCTCCTGGGCCATCTACATCACAGGTGGTTCCAGAGTTGAAATATTCTTTCTCAATAATGTAATTAGCTTTCTTCTCTAGATCTTGCCAATCCCCCCCAGGGCTGCCGATTGACCACTTCACACTTACTGCCACCAGTTCCTCCTCCCTTTCTTGCAGCGTCCTGCGGATGGCGATGCCTATAATCTGCTGTACCTCCCCCAGAAACTGCCACACCTCCTCTTTCAGGCCCTGGACTACAAAGCTCCTTCTTGTATCATCTGCCTGCTTTGGTCGTGCTTCCTTGATGCTAAGCTCCAGACCCTGTGCCTTGTCTATAACTGAGTCTAGCTCTGCCTGTGTGAGTTGTTCCAGCTCATCAGGCTTCAACTCCTTTTCACACAGCTGCTTTTGTAGGACATTCTTAAGGTCTTCCTGAACCTTTCTGATGGCCTCCAGCCCAGGACCTGTCACACAAAATGTGGCTGGCGGGGGATGCAAGGAAGACAGTCGCAGTCCATGAGATTCTTGTTTTGACTTCTTGAATGTCTGGTAAATTTTTTTCACTATCTGCTTGCCTCTCTCTGTTGGAAGAGGAGTGGGTTATGATATGGAGAAGAAGAGAAATGCATAGATTAAGCAGGAAATTTGAAATCAGAAAAGAGGAGACTCATAGGGTGCTTTTCCACCGTACTTTTGGTACTTCAATAAAGTACCAAAAGTACTGTACTTCAAGGTGTTGGTTTTCCACTGGCATAAAATCTGGTACTGGTGCTGAATGACTTCACAATGTGATGCAGGTATTTTGTACTGAATTCAAAAAATGGCTATAGCATATTATAGGGCTGGATGATGTGCAATATTAATACTGTCATCGCATGCTATGCACATGCAGTTCTTACATTGCTAGTCAGATTAAGATCAAGCTTTTTCTTACCTTCAGATCTGTACGTAAATTATAGGTCAGTTTCACTGAAACATTTTTACTCTCAAATAGGAAAAAAAAAACTTAGGTTTTGCAATTTTAATGATTATTGCTTTTCAAGATTATGTAGTATACGTTTAAAAATCAATTTAAAGTTTACCTCCACTGCTTTTGCATGAGTGCTGCATGCATTCTCTGAGACAAATTATTTTCATACTTGCTGTTTAAATCACTCCTACACAAGTCCATAGAGAGTCCATGTACTTATGCAATGACATTAATTTATACACCCATTTGATTGTCCCATTATTTATGTTCAGATTTAACTTGAACTGTTTTTTTCTTTTCTTACATTTTTCATTTATTACATTTGGACTGATATCCTGCCCAGCTGCCCCCCTGCCTCGTGCCTTATGCTGCTCTGGATAGTCCCCAGGTCCCAACTACAGCCTATTACTGGATAAAAATTTGGAAAATTAGTGAAATAATTAAATTCCGCAAGAATTTACTGTGATGAGTTACAACAACTACTTTATGTAAAGGAATGGGATGGATTGATCAGTTAGGACTTAAATATTTAAATGATTATTGTATCTGAATTCATTCTTAATACGTGATGATATAGGTTAATCCAGTATTGTTATATGTCAATGTTTAGTTTTTTTTCATTTCGTCATTAGCCTACAGATAGCAATACCTCATTTTGCTTTTTTTTCTCAAACAGAGCACCTATGTTGTCCAGTTAAAATGTAGCTGAATGTGTCAGTGTGAGTCTAAATAAAAAATAATGATACAGCATTGGTATATGCAGGAGACTGGCTGTGAAGGCTTACAGTACCTTTCAAGGTAGGAGGTGGAGCCATCTGTCCTATGCGACTCTCCAGCTCACACCTATAGAGGGCAGCAAAACCTTCTCAGTGCTGAACGCAGTGAACCAGGTATATCAATCAGGACTAGAGGAGTAGGTAGAAAAAGAAGAGCAGTGATGGAGGAACAAACAGAGTAAGAATGTACCTGAAGGTCTCAAACACCGGCCTTAGAAGGAGGATGATGCGGATGTGGGAGACGTCATCAGGGGACGAGTCCCTCACAACTGTGGCCATACCGTCCAACATTGATGCAGCGACCTTCTTGGCATCCAGCCCAGCTGCACCTGTCATTGTAGACAACCTATATGGTTAAATGGGACTTAGTGACTCACACAAAGAACTTGTCGGTCTCTGTTTAGGAAACAAACCTGCACCCACAGCAGGAAAGGCCACTGATTTGTAACCCTTCTGTTGACAAAACTTCAGAACCTTTCCGCAAAGCTTCTGGACACGGTGCAAATCCGACTGAGCATAGATGTGTATGATGGCTTTACAGGCCAATGATCCTGACGTTGTGCTGCAGAACTCGTCGGACTGAGTCCGCACTGCGGACGAGGAGAAAGACAAAGCAACAGACCCTGCATTATCAATAATTGCTTGTTAATGATGTCAAACTAAATTGAGTGTTTGGGTTACTAACCTTGGTTAAATTCATCCAGAACCTTTTGCCCTGCTGCCATTAGAAGTGTGTTTGAGACACCTACAGAATACAAGCATATAAATTCAGATACAGTAAACATATTATTGTTAATGGTGATATAACATAAAACTGCAATAAACTGCATAGGTATGACAGAGCATGCAGCATAAATGATTTGGTAATAATTTAAGTAATATTCCAGACATTTGTGCATCTGTGAATATGTGCTTTGTTTCTTCGGCTACAATAAAATGCACTGCATGTTTATAGGAACTGCAAAGGAGAAAGTGTTACCAGTTTGCTTGTCAGTGGAATTTGCAGAATTAACAATAACATCTGTAGTTTCATTAATGATGTCGCCAAAGACGAGCTGCAGCTTGACACTGCCCATCATGAATGTGATCTCATCCTGGGTGACAGAGACCCAGCTATAGAAAGATGCTGAAAGAGAACAGAAAGAAAGAAAATAGAATGGTTAGTTAGGGTATTAGTCTTTAATAGTGATTTTTGGTATACAATTAATTGTGTGGCATTAATCTTACTCTGGTCTGGGAACATAGCCAACTGAAACCCCCTTAGGTTCAGAACATCATAGCACGCCTGTAAAGCCTGGGGAATCGATATTCAGTGTCACCAATACTATCAGGGTACAACTCAAGCAGACAATTACACAAAAAATATTCAAAAACATGTAGGTCAAGTAATAAGCTCTCCCTCAGCATATAAGTAATCGTTAATAATCTGTCAACATGGACCTGTACTCACTGCTGCGGAATGTTTGTCACTGGGATGAATGACTATATGGACTTGCAAAGTGGATGCTGATGTTCGGTTCTGCTCATGCCGCTGGATCTCCTCCAGCAGAACTTGGGCAGCAATTCGATGGGGAAATGCCAGGCTGATGCCAGTCCCCAACATAGGAAATGCCACTGAAGTCAATAACCAGGTATCACAAATGCACAAAATGTTCCTCAAACCCTTACGAAGGGTCTGTTAGGAGACAGCGGTGGTGGAAGACAAAGGAACAAGGCAAAGAAAACTTGATTTTAAAATTAAATATGCAGCGAAATTTGATCATTTTAAAATTTCTTTGACAACACACAGATAGAACCGACGACACGAACCTGTACCGCTGCTCCTTGCGGATCCCCATCCCAGCGCGCACAGTGAAGAAAAATGATACTGCATCCAACTAGCCCCCCTTCGCCATCCACCACATGCAGTCCCCCAGGCACTGTAATCCAGGTCTGGGTTGTCTGCTCCAAACTAGTTGAAAATTGTCTCCCCCCCTTAATTAATAGGCATTTCCCCACCTTTGAGGACCGCGGCGCATCACCCAGCATGGGTGAGACAAGGGCATCTACCTGCAAGCCAAAGGGATCACAGGACAGGTAGCAAAACAAAATGTAAACCATCATGTCACATTTAGAGAACAGTCCCTTTTGTATTTAAACGAACATATGCTATGGTTATTATGTAGTCTAATTTACAAATGCATGCATTCAAATACATTTGAAATATCAAGCTCTGAATAAATGTTTCTTACCTGTTGGTCCTCAATGTTGCCTACTGTAATTTTGACCTGGATTAAGGATTCAGACACTGCTGCGCCCCCAGTCGCTGCAGTTGTTAAGCTTGCGAGATCCTCATAGTCTGTGGTTTCCACTGCGCCACCGGCAGGTGGATCCATCCCCCCAAGCAGTGTATCGCAGGCAGATTGCATGGCCCTTACTGCATTTTCATTGCTGTCCACTAGCATGACTGTGTGCAGTGTGTGTGGGTTCCTGCCAAATGCTCTCACTGCCATCACAATGGCCTTGGCACAGAGGTTAATGGGCACACCAAAAATGCCAGAACTGATACAAGGCATAGCCAATGAGCGGCAGCTTCGTTGCTCTGCTAGTTCAAGTGCCTCTTTTACCGCCTTTTCCAGCAGGGCCGTCACTTCCCTGTCCTTGGCATTGCTCCACGTTGGCCCTACTGCATGTATCAGCACCTTGCAGGGCAGCTTTCCAGGTGTGGTTTCCACTGCTGTTCCGGTGGCCACCTTGCCAATTCTTTGTACCAGTTTACTGCTAGCCTGCTGTACCTCCGGCCCTCCCACCCTGCTCAGGGCTGCTGCCACGCCCCCACAGTGTTCTAGGTTCTCATTGGCTGCATTGACTATTGCATCTGCATTCTCTTGGGTAATATTACCCTGTCGCACATACACACAGAGCCCCCCCTCCAGCTGGTACTCAGGAACACCAAAGTCTTTCATCTGGACCAAGCAGCGATGAGTGCGACTAACGACTTGGAGGTATTCCTGTCCTGGGCCCTTGAAGTAGCGATGAGCACCTGGGGAATCAATAGTAACAATCTTCTGGACTAGGGAGCTCAGAGCTTTGCTTATCCTATCACTAGCTGCAGTTACCAAATGCCGGGGTCCCATAAGAATCATCTCAGGTGGTGAGCGAGTTTCAGAAATTGAAACTTGAATACCCGAGTCGTCAATGTCAAGCAGGGCAAACAGCTTACTAATTTGGTCAGACAATTCGGGGTAAGGAAGGGCCACCCTGAACTGATGAATAGCATGGTCCTTCAAGAAACTCTGGACCACATCATTCAACTTGGTTACCGAATCGCGGTAACCCAACAGCTGGACACTATGCTTATTGTAGCGTACCTGTACCCTAGCCTTTCCCGCGTTTAGCTGGAGCTCCTTGTCCTGCAATACCTCCTTCAATTTTGGCAACTGAGTGAGTGAATCGGGAACAGGTACCTCTTCCTCACTGAATTGACTGAGCAGGGCCTTTTGCGCATCCTCCAGATCCTTCTGGGTTAGAGACAACAGAGACAGACCTCTGTCAGTGATTTCAGTTTTTGCTGGGATACCTTTCAAGATGGCATCCAGCGTTTCTGGTCCCTGTGTTCCCAGAAATGAATGCAGCCAAGGGGACAGCCCGGCCACCCGCTGCTCCTGTATTTTTTCTGCCATGGCCGCTACCTTCTTGCGGGCTGACAGGACATCGGCTGCTGGACCTTCAATCACTAGTTGCCCCACATCAGTCTGAGATACCTTAACCCCAGGGAGATGCTCTTTTAGCTCCTTCTCCAGCTTCTTGCCTAGCAGGAGCAGTCGGGGCTTCCCAAGAGAGCAGGTCGTGTTGACTCTCTCCTGTGTCACTGAGTTTCTGTGTCGCTTTTCCAACATCGACAGGCTCTCCTTCACCTCTTTTTCTGACCCCACTATAACTGAAAATCCCTCCCCTGCCTCACTGTACACCTGGAGCTCCTTTGTGGCTATGAAGGGACTATTCTGTAGAGCTTGCAGTATCAAAGGGTCAGCTTCATAATGGCAACAATATTTTGTTTTCACTTGCTCGAACACATGATTTATCATGGTATCTATTTGGCTTGTCTCCTCTACCCTGGGTGTACCTTTCACGACCATATTCTCTGCCTCAGGCTGAAGCTGGAAAGAGCAGAAGAGTGTAGAGAGTTGATGTTGTAGGTCATTTCCAGCCTGAACGTTATCTGTCAGGTAGCGAATCAGGTATGGGTCCAGCTGCACCACTTTCTTATATTTGCCACAAGGGGGTGCCCCAGAGACAGAGTGGAAGTGATGTGTTTGTTCTAAAAATAACAATGAGAATATGATCAGCTAAATTTGATCTCATCAAAAACAATTAGCCAAAAGGTTAATTTGTTAATCATTATTATCAGAGTGACATGCAATGTGGTTTATCTTGAAAGAAGCTGTTTCAAAGCACCAACCTGAGGTTGCTTTAGCAGGTGTTTTTAGAGAGTCCTGAGTAAGGAGATAAGAGAACAAATTAACTTTATGCATGTAGATTAGGATCAACTTATATCATAATTTTAAATCTAGATGTACAATAAAAGGTGTCTTTTTATTATGCACTTATACTGAAACCCTGTTCTATGTGATACCATTATTATTATTATTATTACGTGATACAAATACCAAAGAAGACAGACTAAAATTCCAAAATTTCACGCAATTTCCCTCATGTGACATGCCAGTAAGATCATTCAACACAGATGAGACCTTTTGACAGAATGTGAAATGCCTTGTGTAAAAGCTGGATTTAGGAAGTCAGTGATGATGCTTGATGGATCAATGAACAAACTAGGGCTGCAACTATCAAATATTTTCATATTCAAATATTCAGCTGTGTTTTTTTTTTTGGAATATTTGGTATTTGCACAACATTACTGCTAGAGGCACTTTGAAAATGCTCCCATACTTTGGAGCTTTTAGGCTACTTGGAGGAGGAGCATTCAGACTCACACCCACCATCATTTCTGTTTACATAATTGCCTGTTATGTGTGTGTTACATGCTAGAAGAGTTGCACTGGCCCTCTGCTGGAGTCAGAATATGAACTGCGCATGGATTTTAGTTCAAATGTGTATTTCTTCTCAAAACTTTTTCATATTCATTTTTTTCAAATATCTGTTGCAGCACCAGAAAAAAACCAAAAGGAGGTCAACACTAGCTTTATTGAATACAACAAGCCTTTGGCTATGTTGACCATGTCAAAATAAGGACTGTTCTCAGAAAAATGGGTGTACCAGTCTATGATATTGTCCTCATCTTAGTGGCTAAAAGCCATGGTCAGGGTGAAATATGGAGATTTTGCATTCAGAACATACAGAGAAGGTAAACTGTCAGAACACAACGGCAGGCTTATGACTGTTGGAAGAAACATCAACAATCGTGACATACTGTTGACACCACACATATACAAGATTTGAACACATGAGGAACGATAATGACCATAGTAAAAAGATCTGACCATGGCTACATGTGAACAAAACAAAGGTCTTGGCTGCAGGAACAGCAGCTAGTTTTAGTGTTGATGGTAAAGACATAGAAGTTTAGCTGCTTGGAACAATAATAAACAACCAGGTATCTGGCTGTAAAAAATACACTACAGATTGGCACTTGGCAAAGTGGTGATGAAGAACCGAGAAAATTAATTATATATCCTAATTATATATTTCTCAAAAATAATAGTTTCATATTACAATATTAATATTTGAATTTTTGGTTATTCTTTAGAGATAATAATAAACAATAAAGAAGCAGAGCAGGAAGGCTAACAAACACTTTTAACAATGTCATGGAACAACTGTGTCTGGGACCAAAACAAGCCTGGACTTTCATTTGAAGCCCAAGCAGACATAGTCCCAGACCCAGTGCTTTCTTTCTCTCGTAACATCCAGTTGTGTAAATTGTGTAAAGCAGGAAACGGGTATGCTGGCCTTACTGTGGAACAGGGTGAGTCCGCATCCCGACGCACTGACACCACAACTGGGCCACGGGGCGTCTCCAGTGTATGATTTCCCTTTTGGAGAACTCTCTGCTGGTCTGCGAATGTAAAGAAACAGCACTGCTTGAGGAACACATGCATGAATTTGCAATGTCGAAAAAGGGAGAGTGTCTCCTTTGTGAATTTGGGATGTTAGGGTATGCATAAAGAAAAGACAGAGCAGGGTCAAAAAAATGCAAATTATGTCAAGAAACACTGCCAAAGACATACTGCTCCTTCCACCATGTTTTAGAGAAGAAATACTATTCTGAAGATCATGAGCTCCCTTTCTTTCTCGACACATTTTTATTTTCATCACTCTGGTATTGGTGGTGGGTGCGGCAACACACTGTAATCCGTGCATTACCTCTGATAGTTGAAAAGGGGTGTTTTTCTTTACTACAGTAACTTTTTTTTACCAATCAATTCTGGCACACCTACTAATGTTTTTTTCTCTGTCTCTGTGGTTTTTCTCCGTCATCGTGGCCTGCTTTGATCTCATCAGGTTCTTAAAAATTCTTAAATATGCTTAATTGGGTCTAGAGCCAAAATAACAACAAAAACAAAAAAAAATGTAATTTCTTATCTATACAATACATCTTTTCAATAAGTGGTCGTTCGGTAAAGTTTGTGTTTACTTTCAGTACTTTCATTTTGAATGTCTGAACTAGGAACTTTCGTTTTCATTTCAAGTTTTCCTTAATTTATTTATCAGGTCCCCTATTCAGTCAGGTGAGCACAGACTTTATTTTCCCGTACCTAAAAGATTCATGAGATTCCGACTATTTTTTTTATTTTTTTTTGTATTGTTGTAACCCAGGAATGCAGTGTTCCTGTTTTTATCCCCCACGCTCGGCAAATCGTGCCCCTCCCCCCATCGGTGGGGTACTTGATGTTATCGTCCCTTATTTATTTAGATAAATAACAAACCCACCGTGTGACCATCAAGACACAATCGAACACTGAATGCTGTTATTTAAGGGCTGGTCTCTCACCTTCTTGATGCTTGAAGGCAATCTTACAGGTGCCACCGGCTACAAGTTCCACTGGTCCACATTCGCCCCCACCGGACTTTCTTCGAATTTGAAAGTATTTTTCGATGTTTTTCCTTAGTTTTTCGTCTAGATTGGACACCTCGAAGAACAAGGGATATTTGTATTCCCCCATTTTGCGTCAGTAGTTATTTTTTCCCCGGAGATTTTATTTGAGGAAGCGGCACAACAATTACAGTTGCAGTTGTTCCTTTTTGGAACCGTATGTGAAACCGAAAGCTGCATGCACATTACGTACATTACATATTTGATCTTTTTCGCATATCTGTGACCACGCTATTTATTTAGTTGGTTTCCACTACTTTACTTTACTTATTTTAAAGTTTAACTAATGCATCTTTCATCATGTTTAACTTAAAAAAAGTTATATGAATAACGTGATAATGTATTAATATGTCGGGCTACGTATTGCAGAATAATATAATCTTACATTTCTGCGTATCGACCTTGAAATAATGAAAATTGTGTGATAGAATTAATGGCGACATAATTGAAGTCAAATGAAATCTTTCATGACTTTGCGTCACTGTAGTCGTGGCCGAGCGGTTAAGGCGATGGACTAGAAATCCATTGGGGTCTCCCCGCGCAGGTTCGAATCCTGCCGACTACGAAATTTATTTTAATTTTTTTAGTATATTGAAAATTTATACAAATAAATGATGTTGCTTCGAGTATTTACAAAACCATTTAAACGGCATATTTAGCTAGTCATCATGACCACGAATACATTCATTCTCAAAAAGTGCTTAGTATTAGCATGAAACAGAATTTTGTTTATTGCCAAATAAATACAATGAACAATGAAGCAATAAGTAATAAGAAACAAACGGGTTCACAAAACAGTACAAAAACTATATAATATTCTATCAATAATTATAACAATATTAAAAAAGTAGGAAAAGACATGAGTACTGAAACAACATATGTGATGTGCAAAAATATGAACATATGAAACAGATGCGCAAAAATGCATTTAAGTGTGTTCAGAGTCAGCTGGGGAGGGGGAGAGGCAGGGATGATGTCAGCTGGGGTCAGGGGGTTTGTTAATGAGTTCAACTGCTAAAGGGAAGAAGTGGTTTTTGTTTTGTTTTCGTGGAGTGCGGTTCTGGTCTTGATAGACCTCAGTCTTGCTGGAGGGTTAGGGGTGTTTTGAACAGTCCATGTCCAGGGTGGAAGGTATCAGGTACAATCTTTCCTGCCCATATCAGGGTCCTGGAGATGTGCAGTTACTGGAGGGATGGCAGATTGCAGCCAATCACCTTTTCTGCAATGTGGATGATGTGATGCAGTCTGCCCTTGTCAGCAGCATACCAGACAGTAATGGAGCAGGCGAGGATAAACTCCATGATGGCTGTGTGGAAGTAGCAGGTTGATCTTCTTTAGCTGCCATACTGTAGGAAGTGCATCCGCTGTTGGGCTTTTTTGATGAGGGAGTTGATGTTCAGCTCTCACTTGAGGTCCTGGGAACTGATGATGCCCAGGGAGCATAAGAACAGTATTGACCGGGAGACATGCAAAGTGATTGGGGGAAAGGGAGCTGTGCTACACCTGTCCACTATCATCTCCACTGAGTGTTGAGCTCCAGATTGTTCTGGCTGCACCAGGTCACTAGATGATGAATTCCCCTCCTGTAGAAGGATTCATCCCCACCAAAAATTAGTTCAATGAGGGTGGTGTCGTCCGCAAACTTCAGAAGCTTGGCGGAATTGTGACTGGAGGTATAACTAAGTGTTTTCTACAGTCAGACAGTCAGTTCTGAAAGTCACTTGATTTCCCCTTGTAGAGTCAGCGTTCTTGGGATCGATGACAATGCAAATGGTTGAGAGATTATGGTCGTTGGTCCCATACTGTCCAAGTGTCTTGTTTAGGACATGCAGGATAATTAATAATTACTAGACACAATTAGGGATAGGCATCATTAAGATTTTAATGGTACTACTGCTCCTACTGATACTGCTTATCGATCTTGTACTTTAATGGTACATTTATCTAACATGAACATTTAAATTAAGCACAATTAACATTGCTTTATTTTATTCCATTGTATATAAAATAACATTTTTGAGTGACAAGCTGCAAAAACATTGTTTTGAACAAGTCACTATTAAAGATTATTATGTGATTATTGAAATGCAAAATAAATTTTTACAGCAAAAGAAGCTGTGATATTTCGAACAATTCACATATTTTGATGATGGAAATGTAAAACACATGTAATAAAATAATGTTCACTTTAAAGTGAAAAAAACTAAATGTAGGAGTTTTTCTTTGACAGTAATTTTACTGTGTGGTCATCTGAGTTTGTCCAAATCACTAAATCCCAGATCTGAAACAGTGAATTTCTGAATGACAGATGATGCTCTGGGCATTTCAGATTGAATTTATGAACACACTCATAACGATCAGTTGGCTAATTGTAACTTTTAATCATTAATCCATAGTGGTATAATTTAGGCAACTCCGTGTGTGGACTCCAGGCTGCTAGCATTCATACCTTCTAGCGATCGGCCTGCTTAACATTTCCTAACAATATCCTAACGATTCCTAACAATATCCTAACGATTCCTAACAATATCCTAACGATTCCTAACAATTCCTAACAACACTGCAAGAATTCCTAACTAGATCGTAACAATTCCTAACATTTCCTAACGAGGTATTAACTCTAATCCGAACACTGCGACCGGAGGGGGCAAAAGAGCCAATCAGTTGAAACAGACGATGGGTTAGAAGAACCAATCAGCAATCAATGTTTTACGATTGGGATTATTGTCACGTGACAAGCACAGTAACGCGCCTTCTCGTCTCTGACTGCGAAATTAAGAGACTAGTAAGAGTAAAAGCGGTATGTACAAGCTGGTTTATGCATTTATGAACCTTAGAATATTTTTTATTTACTTTGTTATTGAAATTGCCAGATGAACTATGAAATAGGCAGTTGAAAACTGTCTATTTCTCCATATGCATGTGACCAAGGAGACATGCAAACATCCCCCCTAACTCCCCTGGAAATTACGCCCATGCATGTGATGGACTTTTGTGAGATGTTTCAAGAGATTGCTTAGTTTTCTGCCCTTACATGCAAAGAATTTATGGCACTAGTGGCGACGAGCATTGTCAGCATCGACTCCAGTCAAATGTAATTACACTTTTGAATGTTTAGCTCTATCCATCATCATCACTAAAAGCAGAGTCTGTTTGTAGGTAGTTGTGGCTGTACCTTCTAGCAATCGGCATTCCTAACATTTCCTAACCATTTCATAACAATTTCCTAACAATTCCTAACAACTTCCTAACAATTCCCAACAACATTGCAAGAATTCCAAACTAGATTGTAACAATTCCTAACATTTCCTAAAGAGGTCCTAATTCACATCCTAACACTGCGACCAGAGGGGACAAAAGAGTCAATCAGTGGAAAAAGACGATGGGTTAAAGGAACCGATCAACAATCAATGTGATATGATTGGATTATTGTCACGTGACTGGACTGGGGACAGGAACAGGACTGGATACAAGGCTCCACTGCCTGGCAGGCACCCCACTCAAGGCTGTGCAAACCAGTCAGCTCTCTGACCTACCATGGAGAAGGATTAAGATCTAGGATATGTTGCCGTAGAAGTATTTAAGGATAAACCCTATACTCACTTACAATAAAAATTCTGTGTTACCACTACAATATCCTGCAATGTAGCTTGTTAACCCAGTCATCTATGCCCAACAAACACTAGTCCCTGGATTCCACTTTAGTGCTTCGATACACAGAATTTATGTATCGTGCAACGCCCCTGTTGTCTCACCACCTCCTTATCTACAAAACAAGTTCATTGTGATACGTCCTATGTGATGCCAAGAGCATCTATTGAACATCTACTGCCTTCCCCACAAACACTGCAAATTACTATCCTTGTTCTCCATAGACCTGAAGGTAGTCTTAGCACAGAAAATGATTATTCTTTCGAGTATGTAGTTCAACAATACCTACTCTATATGTGTTTAAACATTCGATCTATTTGGGCCTCACACTGACTTTTGACCCATCTAGGCAACATTCATAAAATACTTGAGAAAATGAACATTGCTAACTTTTCTCTAACCAATTTAACATGCTTTTGTATATTCTTTCATGAATATCTAAGACTTTTTTCAGACCCAATATTAAGTGTGGGTAGTCGTGGCCGTACCTTCTAGCAATCGGCTTTCCTAACATTTCCTAACAACTTCCTAACAATTCCTAAGAACATTGCAAGAATATCTAAGATTTTTTTCAGATGAAACACAGAGTGTGGGTAGTCGTGGCCGAGTGGTTAAGGCGATGGACTAGAAATCCATTGGGGTCTCCCCGCGCAGGTTCGAATCCTGCCGACTACGTCCTTGGTTTTAGCAGCTACTTACCAATGGTAAATGGACTTCATATTCGTTCACTTACATTTTGCCCAGACTACCTTAAAAAGTTACCCCGATAAGCCAGTAACCCCGCTTCGTAGTACATGCCCCAGCTCACGAATTGATTTATCATGTTTAGTTCGGAGAAATGTTTTTCTGCACTTTCTGTGTCGGCCAAAAGGAACTCCTTTTAATCTAATGAGCATGACGTACGATCTTTTAAAATTTCTTTCCCCACAAATGACACAGCATCATTGCTCATACCTCACTTCAAGTTTTAGTTTTTTTTTTTACTACTTTAGAAAATGTACATCAACAAAACAAGGAAAAGATTATTGTGACGTAATTATCTGTGGAAAACCACAGGTAATCTTACGATTCAGGGAACGATTTTTCATATGAAAGACAACGTTATAAAATATAGAACAAACAAGCGATACATCTCGATGAGTTTGGTAGGTAGCACTTGCAGGAGGTTTTCTCTGCAAACCCACCCGCTCGCTGTTAACGGAATAACAGTAACTGAATAGCCAACAGAACAAACGAAAATGATAGGAGGACACACTTCTGGCAAATACCATACTAAAATTCACTCGTGTATTGATTAACATCTGTCAGAGCCAATGAGAATGGGGGACACATAGGGGCCAATCCTATTTTGAAGGGGCGGTGCTACTTGACTCCCATCTCCGCCTCTTTAACTTAATTTTTTATTCCAAATTGTACAATTACTTGTGATTTTCTGCATTTAATAAAAATGAAATCACCACATGTTAACTAGAATAGGCTTCCTGCAACTCTTCCCGTGAATTATTGTTAAATTATAATGATAATCTGCGTCAGATTTAGTGTGATTGTGTGACGATTTAACGCCACTAGTTTACACCCTAACCCGGAATGTAAACAAACATAACCTCCATTTCGATATTTTGGCACCCATGGGCGTCGCTAGACCACTTTTACAGGGGCATTTGACACAGAATTTATGTATCGTGCAACGCCCCTGTTGTCTCACCACCTCCTTATCTACAAAACAAGTTCATTGTGATACGTCCTATGTGATGCCTATAGTGTAAATGAGTGGTTAACTAGTTTCGGCACGCGG